AAAAAAAAAAAAAAGTTTATTAAGCTAGGCATCAGTGGCTCACTTCTATAATCCTAGCTACTCAGGAGATTGAGCTCTGAGGATCATGGTTCAAAGCCAGCCCGGTCAAGGAAAGTCAGTTCGTGAGACTCTTATCTCCAATTAACTACCAGAAAACTGAAAGTGGCACTGTGGCTCAAATGGTAGAGTGCTCGCCTATGAGCTGAATTGCTGAGGGACAGGGCCCAGGCCCAGAATTCAATCCCCATGACTGACAAAAAAAAAATATGTACATTAGTTGTACAAAGGTATTTTGTTGGGATATTTTCATAATGCAAATGATGCACTTCATTTATTTTTAATTTGTTTTGTTTTTCATGGAACTTGAACTCTAGGTCTGGGCACTGTCACTGAACTGTTTTGCTCAACACTAGCCCTCTAGCGCTTTGAGCCACAGTGCCACTTTTTTTTTTCTGGTGGTTAATTAGAGATAAGAGTCTCATGGACTTTCCTGCCCAGGCTGGCTTTGAACTGTGATCCTCAGATCTCAACCTCCTGAGTAGCTAGGATTACAGGCGTGAGCCACCAGTGCCTGGCCAGGCAAACTCTTATTTATTGATAGCTTAAAGGCTAACCTTGGAGCCCACCTTTTGGGAAGCATCCCATTTCCAATTAAAATAATCTGAATGTGTCTAGCTTGGGTGATACTTGGACATTGTAATGACTATACTTTAAATGTCTGTGCTCCCTGCTGCTCCTAGTCCTTTTGTTATGAAAGAGTTATTAGCATTGGTTACTGTCATATGGGTTTTTCATTTTTATCCTAGGGGCTTAAATTGATTTGTTTCCACCTCTTGTGCAGTTACTCATCAAAAACCCAAGTGAGCGGCTGGGCTGTAAGGGTGATGGAGCTGCGGGAGTAAAGCAGCACCCGGTGTTCAAGAACATTAACTTTAGCAGGCTGCAAGCACACATGTTAGACCCTCCTTTCTGTCCTGATGTAAGTACACTGCCCAGTCAGCTGAGCTCCCAGGAACTCTGATTTCCCAGAACATGTTTTTGGTTTGTGAAGGCAGATGCAGACTCAGTCATCTGGTACAGATGGGGTATAGCTTTCTGCTTCTTCCACCCCCTTTGCCTCCCAGCACCCACAGCCAATGGCATACCTTTCTGCCTGCTCTGGGGCTCTGGGGCACACTCTCTCTCCTGGGGGAGCCAAGCTGCTGCCTTCGTAAACCTTAGTGCCATTCTTCAAGCCTGCCGTGAACCGGTGTCTCTGCTCTGATCTCAGGGCTGGCGTCTCAGCCAGCTCCTGTACCCTCCTCACGTGCAGTGCATACCTTCTGCCTTAGTGTGCAATGTGCATTCCCACACCATTTTTCACAAGACTCTGGGGCCCCAGCCAGGCCCCACACTGAGGACCCTGGACTTGTCACTTTGCCTCCTTGTGAGTATGCTATCAACAAATCAGTGAGGTCTTCAAAGTGCTCAGCACAGGGCCAGGTACTTGTCAGTGCCTGCTGGCAAGCTAGTATTGTAAATGAACTCCTACTGATGTGAAAAGAAATGAATGCAGCACCAGTGGCTCAAGCCTATAATCCTAGCTGCTCAAAGTGCACTGCTGACCAGTGGTGAAAAGAGCACCCCTGCTTTGGTCGTAACAGTTATCTGTTGTCTGTGCAAGTTCTGACCTACAGTAAAGTGTTTCCCAGACCTCTAGGGTGCCTTGTGCTGAGGAAGGGAGGATCCACAGCTGCAGAGCGCTGTTCTCTGGATGCCTTGGTATTAGAAGCTCACGTTCAGAAGTACTCATGTCACGTCCACCCTGCCTGCTTGCCTGACCCATTGCTTCTGACAATAGCAGTGCTAGGGTAGTGCTACAGGCAGGCCTGGGCTCAGATCCTGGAGGAGGGGCTACTGGAGCAGACCCGGTGAGCAGGGCGGTGAGACCACTTGAAGAACCTGGGAGGGCACGCAAGAAGTTTGCTTTCAGTTGCACTTAGTGACCAGATGCTATGGGAAGAACATATCCAGGGCCAGAAGGGGGGGGGGGTGAGAGTTATTGCTAATGGATCCCACCGCTGATGGACTGCGCGCACAGTTCTCTAGTTCTACACTATGTCCTTTTATAAAATTTCACTTTATTGTAAAGGTGATACAGAGGGTTTACAGTTACATATGTAAGGTACCGAGGACATTTCTTCTCCAAGTGTTACCCCTCCCTTGTTTTTCTCCCACCTTCCCCCTACATTGTGTCTTTATTGAAAGAATCCCATCCTGGAATTCTTCAGGTATGGCCTTTGTAATCCACTTTCCAGAACAGAAGAGGAGGCTCACACATGCATGCTCCCTGGGGGTGGAGGGGAGGGAGGAAGGAGGGATGAAGATAGGGAGGGAGAGCCAGAATACACACACAGGAACTGCTATGTCAGGACTCTGTATGAATCAAAACGTTTCAGAAGAGGGACTTGGCAGTTAATGGAGGCAACAGAGTGGACTTTATTTTTTAATTAATTAATTTATTTTTTTTGGGTCTGGTCGTGGGGCCTGAACTCTGGGCCTGGGCGCTGTCCCTCAACTCTTCAGCTTAAGGCTAGCATTCTACCACTTGAGCCACAGCACCACTTCCGGCTTTTTTCTTTTTTCTTATTGGTGCTGAGGAATCAAACCCAGGGCCTCATGCATGCAAGGCAAGCGCTCTACCACTGAGCTACCTTCCCAGCCCCAGCAGTGGACTTTATTAATGCATCTCATTCTTCATAATTATGGGAGCTAAGCATTCTAGTTATCTCCATAGGTTGATGCCTCTCTTTGTTCTTGGTGCTCAGCCTCAGGCCATTTATTGTAAGGATGTCTTGGATATTGGGAAGTTCTCTCTGGTGAAAGGAGTCTACTTGGACACCACAGATGAAAACTTCTACGCGCAATTTGCTACTGGGTGTGTCTCCATCCCCTGGCAGAATGAGGTACTGCTCTTCCCAGCAGAGCAGGTTTTTATGCTAGTTTAAACCACCATGTAAGTGTGTAGGTGTGTGCAAATATTTAAGAAGCAAATTTTGGACAACATTTGAACATAGGACTAGACCATGGACAAGCCAAGGCCATTTTAATAATTATCCAGAGGCATGGCAGCTGTTGAGATCCAATTACAGGAAAAGAATAGAGGGTGCCCATCTTGGATCTAGAAAGGACTTGCCTGCCCCCTAAGAAACATGCTTACTAAGTAGGGCTAGCTGGTAGCTATGGCTCTCATAGCATTAACTGCTTTGGGGATACACTTAGAGAAAGGAGAACAAAAGGCCACTTACTTTCTCAGGTCAGGCAGCAGGGAACACAGGGATTCAGGAGAGTAGAAGCCATGAAGGCCTGGGGTGCTGATGTGCCCCTGAGTGAACACAGGCGCTGGGTGGGGCTGGTGCCCTGGGAGACCACTGCACTCACGTGCTCTCTACTGCTCACACCTCTTCTGTTCATACAGATGATTGAATCTGGATGTTTCCAGGACATCAATGAAAGACAAAGTGACGAGAATCTCGCATCAGATCACAAGGAGAAAATCTCTTCCCCATTATCTAAATCAAAGAGAAGATTCTTCTATGAACTCTTCAGAAGAGGGGTAAAACAAATTTTTTTTGGTGATACAAAATTTTTTAGACAGAGCTGGGAAGGTGGCTCAGCAGTAGCATGCTTGCCTTGCATGCATGAGGCCCTGGGTTCGATTCCTCAGCACCACATAAACAGGAAAAGCTGGAAGTGGTTCTGTGGCTCAAGTGGTAGAGCGCTTACCTGGCGCTTAAGAGCTGAGGGACAGCGCTCAGGCCCAGAGTTGAAGATCTACGACTGAAGAAAAAAATTATACAGATAGAGACACACATACACTCTCTCTCTCTCTCTCTCTCTCTCACATACACACACAGTATTGAGCTGGACATACAGCTTAGTAGAATACTTGCCTAGTATTCATAAGGTCCTGGGTTTCATCCCCAGTTGCCCACCACAGTATATATATAATATCCATGTGTCACAGGCATGAGCCACCAGTGTCTGGCTCTAGTTTCCTTTGCAGTGCTTTGTACATTATACAAGCTAGGAACTGGTAAATCCTCACACCTATAATTGTAGCTACTCAGGAGGATGAGATCTGAGTATCATAGCTTCAAAACAGCGTAAGCAGAAAAATGTACAATAGTCTCCAGTTAAATAGTAAAAAGCCAGAAGTGGAAGCATATCTCAAATGCCAGCCATGAGAGAAAAAGCCAAGTGATAACATGAGGCCCTGAGTTCAAATCCCACTACTAGCATACACACAAATACAGGGCCAAAAAGCCATACGGTGCTCAGAAAATTGTATGCATTACCTGAATTGTGCAGTGGTAACCCGTCTATGCAACACCGTAATAACAAAATATATTTATTTATTTATTTATTTATGGTCGGTCGTGGGACACAAAATATTTTTTTAAAACTCCAAAAAAAAAATCCATATGGTGCTAATAAGAGCTCAAGCAGAAAAATCCTCCCAACACTGTGGGAAGATGGTTATGATTCACCAGCATTGAACCTGTTTCCTGTGTTGACAACAGGATTTTTAAGTGGGAGAGATTGAACCCAGGACCTTGCATCTGCTTGGCAAGGACTTCCCACTTGAGCTACATTCCCCAACCTCCTAACCATCATTTTTGTTTTGAGATAGTCTTAGTAACTTTTCCTTAGGTAACCTCAAACTCATGCTTCTCCTGTTTGCACTTCCTGAGTCTCTGGGATTGTGGGCATGTCATCATGCCTAGTTGTGACAATATTTTGAGCTATGCTCAGGAGCCAAGGTCAGCTGGAACTACCATAAACAATGCACATTGTTTAAATCCTCTGTGTTCTGATTCCTGTCCCACTCTGTCTCGCGCTTGCTCACATGAGGACAGAGGTCTCTTTTGAAAATGGAATTGTTGGAGAGGATTTCTGTAATATCATTAAATTTAGAAAATAAGTTCTTGCCATTCATTGGTTGTTTACCTGTGCCCCTAGCTACTCAGGAGGCTGAGATCTGAGGATCATGGTTCAAAGCCAGCCTGGGCCCCAAATCCATCGTGAGACTTATCTCCAGTTAACCACCAGAAAACCAGAAGTGGTGCTATGGCTCAATGGTAGAGTGCTTGCCTTGAGCTGAAGAGCTGAGGGACAGCGCCCAGGCCCAGAGTTCAAGTCCCATGACCAACCAAAAAGAAAAAACAACAACAACAAAAAACCTTTGATACTTGGATGAGTGGATTATTCTGCTTTGTTCCTGTCCATTCTTGAGGAATGGATTCAGAGAATATCCACTAGCATTTAAATACCTTTTTTCAGTATAAAAAATAAGCCTTAGGTGAGGGGGGAAGCAAAGGGGGAAGTTGAAGAAGTCACTTGTATAACTGTAACTCCTCTGTGTATCACCTTTACAATAAAAATTTTAAAAATAAGCTTTAGCCCAGGTCCTGAGTTCAAGACCCTCAACCAACAATAACAAAAGCCTTAGAGCTCATCAACAGTGGCTTATGACTGTAATCCTACCTATTCAGGAGGCTGAGATCTGTAGATCACAATTCAGAGCCATCCTGGACAAACATCAGAAATTCATTTCTAGTTAACTGCTAAAAAATTTCCATTGTAGCTTAAGTGGTGGGGCACTACCAGCCTTGAATAAATATGCTAATGAAGAGCACAAGGCCCTTAGTTCAAGTCTCAGTGCCCCCTCCCCACACCCTTAGGTGGTAAAAATCTTCCAGAGTGACAATGGGCTGTGGCATTTCCTCTGAGAACAAGGAGTTAGTCATGAACTGTCCAAATCGATCTCCCCATCTGTGGTTTATGCTGGTGAGTCCTGCTCAGGTCTTGTTACATCATCCACACCATTGAGAAATTGTGTTAATAGAAAGGAGTTGTACAAGGTACTTCTTGGTAAAGGAGCTCGTGAGCTTCATTCCCTTTATGCACTCAACTATGAACCTGTAGATCCCAGCTCCAAACTCCTGGCCTTCCAAATCAAGTCTGGCCATCTGTCCCACTACACGCCAAACAGACATGGCAAGGGGCAGGGAAAGGAGGTATACTACATCCAAGCATGTCTGGGAAGACGCACTTGAGCCTATTGGCACAGACATTTGCCCTAAATAGGAAGAATTAGGGACAATGAGAGGCATGCGTGGTTAAAATAGTCCCAGTCTCAAAGGTGGCCTGAGTTGGTGTCACAGGTTAGTCTGGCAGTCCATTGTCTAGGATTGGTCAGGTGGGCAATGGTGGAGGGAAAAGGTCATATATAAAATGTACACAGGGATGCCAAACTTTGAACTGATTTGTGGACTGAAGTAAGTAATCGGTGCTTTGTAGCAAGTAGTTTAAGTACTACTTTCAGACTGTTTGGCACAGTATACAACAGTAAACAAAGAAGCAGTTATTCTGAGGAATTTCCTACATATGTGAATTAAGCAGTTTTCTTTTCTTTTTTTTTTTTTTTTGGGGTCCAGTCGTGGGGCCTGAACTCTGGGCCTGGGCGCTGTCCCTCAGCTCTTCAGCTCAAGGCTAGCGCTCTACCACTTGAGCCACAGTGCCACTTCTGGCTTTTTTTTTCTCTGGTTATGTGGTGCTGAGGAATCGAACCCAGGGCCTCAGGCATGCAAGGCAAGCGCTCTACCACTGAGCCACCTTCCCAGCCCCAGTTTTCATTTCTTTAAAGAAGGAGAAGATACCTAAGGTTTTGAGTGCCCTACAGTTAGCATCTCTCAGAAGTTCATAACTTGTTGCATACAGGTGTTCCCTTGATATCTCCTGGGATTGGTTCTTTTTTTTGGGGGGGAGAGGAGGGGGCTCCGGTCATGGGGCCTGAACTCTGGGCCTGGGCGCTGTCCCTCAGCTCTTCAGCTCAAGGCTAGCACTCTACCACTTGAGCCACAGCGCCACTTCCGGCTTTTTTTCCCCCTGCTTATGTGGTGCTGAGAAATCGAACTCAGGGCCTCATGCATGCAAGTGCTCTACCACTGAGCCACCTTCTCAGCCCCTGGGATTGGTACTGAGACCACACCTCAGATACCAAAATCTGAGGGTGCTCAGGTCCCTTATATAAAATGATTGTACATGTAGTTATACTCTTAAAATTTGTATTATTCTTGATGTATTGTTAAATTTTTACTGTTTTAGGGGGGAGGGGCAGTCCTAAGGCTTGAACTTGGGGCCTAGATGCTATCCCTAAGCTTTTATTTATTTTTAATGTAAAGATGTACAGAGGGGTTAGTCACATAAGTAAGGTAATGAGTACATTTCTCGTTGAACAGTGTTACCCTCTCCCTGGTTTTTTCCCGCTTTCCCTTCCCAAACTCCCCTCCCCCTCCAAATTTTAAAGTTCATTTCTAACATGGTGTCTTGTGAGTATCGCTGTTGCATTGGTTCACCCTTTTTCTCACCATTTTGTTCTCCTTCCCTTCCCCAGATCAGGTAAATGTATATAGAAGAGACAAGGTACCAAAATAAAAAACAGTGACACCAGGGGATAAATCAAGGGGGGGGAAAAACAAAAGAGAAAAGAAATAACAGTACATTAAAGAAACAAAAACAGGAGCCAGTGTCTCATGCATGTAATCCTAATTACTCAGGAGGCTGAGATCTGAGGATCATGGTTCAAAGCTAGTCCGGGCAGGAAAGCCCGTGAGACTGATCTCTAATAATCCACTAGAAAACTGGAAGTGGCACTGTGGCTCAAGTAGTAGAGCGCTTACCTTGAGCTGAAGAGCTGAGGGACAGCGACTAGGCCAGGAGTTCAAGCTCCACGACCAACAACAAAAACAAAACCTTTTGTTTCCATATCTTGGATTTCCCTGAAATTTTGTGCTCAAAGCTATCATTCTGTCATAGCTCCACTTCTGACTTTTTGCTGGTTTACTGGAGATGAGTCTCACAGACTTTCCTGCCTGGTCTGGCTTTGAACCTCAATCTTCTGATCTCAGCCTCCTGAGTAACAAGGATTACATGAATGGGCCAATAGCGCCCAGCTATGATTTATTTAGTTTTGTCTGTTGTGGGGCTTGAACTCAGGTCTGGGCACTATCCTTAAGCTTTTTTGCTCAAGACTACTGCTCTCTTATTTGAGCCACAGTACCACTTCCAGATTTTTCCGAGTAGATTATTAGAAATATGAGTCTCACAGCCTTGCCTGCCTGAACTGGATTTGAACCATTATCCTCAGATCTCATCCTCCTGAGTGCTAGGATTACAGGCATGAGCCACCAGTACCTGGCCTCTGTTATTTATTTGGAGTTGGTTGAGTCTGTACATAAAGCACCTGTAGATACTGAGGGCTGCCTCTACTTATAGGGAACAAAGTCTGCTCGCGTTGGAAACCTGCCTAAGGCCGGCCATTGCCCCTTGTGTTACAGGGCTGCCTGAGTGCTGGCCCTGAGAACGAAGAGGGAGGGGAGCGGACACAACGCTGACTGTTCTGGTGCATACTGAAGATTGAGACCCTGACACCAAGAAGAAGCACGCAGAGTTTCCTCCTACTCATGACCTGTGATAAACATCCTTGGACACATTACATCATACCTTCACAGATTTTTCTACATCAATGCCAGCATTTTCTTTTCACTGAAGTGGATTAAAGGAAAAAAGAAAAAGAAAACCCTCAGTACCATTATATTGTCAAAAACTCAGGTGTGGATGCTTTGTGGGAGAGGCTTGCTTCCTAGGTGTCCACAGAGGAGTGGTGGGCTTGGAGGTAGATGAGTCAGCACGGGTCTAGTGGTGCCCCACTCCAGAATTGTCCTGACATAGTCTGAACGAGATATGGGCCAGGAAGAAAGGGAGGCAGGTTATCGCCCTTTCCCCAGGAGGAGGGGGAAGTGTGTTATCCCAGGAATGGAGGTGTGGGTAGTCCTTGCTGGTGTCTGGATGGCAGTGATGTCCATCAGCCCAGTGTCCATGTCTGTGTGGCTGCTTTTAAGCTTTCCCTGAGTGTATGTCCTGTTCGCTGCAAGGTCGCAGCTGTCTATGGCATTGACTCGTGGTGTGTGCATCACTGTTAGCGTCCATCTCAGGGAGCCCCCAGTGAAGGGCTCCATGTGGAAGGAGTCATCCTTGGGGTGGGGCCTCAGGACATAAGGCCTCAGGTAGCCCCTGGGTGATGGAGGTGCCCTCAAGGGGTTCGAGGGGCCCCTGGTGTCTCTTCCTTTGGTATGCTTCCTGGCTTGTGGTTTTGATTAGCCATGTGCTGCTGTCATGAGGTGCTGCCCCACTTTGATTGAAGCAAACAGTCAAAACCAGCTAAGATGAGCTGGCTTCCACCTTCAGGCCTCAGATCTCAGCCTCCTGAGGGGCAAGGATTTACAGGTAGGAGCCACAAGTGTCCAGCTTATCCTGGACATTTTTTTTTTTTTTTTGGTTCAGTCGTGGGGCCTGAACTCTGGGCCTGGGTGCTGTCCCTCAGCTCTTCAGATCAAGGCTAGCGTTCTACCACTTGAGACACAGCACCACTTCCAGCTTTTTTCTTGTTGCTTATGTGGTGCAGAGGAATCGAACCCAGGGCCTCAGGCATGCAAGGCAAGCACTCTACCACTGAGCCACCTTCTCAGCCCTATCCTGGACATTTTAAACTGTACATACAATTCATTGGATGGAACATTTAAACCTCCATAACTCCTTTCAGCTTCCAACTAAAACTCTTGGTACCCACTAAACACCAGTTTCCCTTTGTACCTCTGTTAGTCCTGACCCTTGTCCTTTATGTCCACAACCCCCGTAAGTGGAACTTTTATTTATTTTTTTATTGTGAAAATACGTACAGAGGGGCTGTAATTACATGGGCAAGGTAATGAGCACATTTCTTATCAAACATTGTTGCCTCCTCCTTTGTTTCCCCTTCCCATCCCTTCCTATCCCCCACCCCAAAGTTGTAAAGTTCGTTTTCCGACATAACAACTTGTACATCTCATTGTTTGCAATGGGCCCATCCCCATCTGTATCCCTATTTAAGCAATTTGTTTTTGCCCTTCCCCTCCACAAATTATACCAACATCAAACACAGTGAGAGCAGGGGTTATACCATGGGGGAGGGACATACAAAGCAACAAAGAAATCATAATATTGTTTCTAACGAAACAATAGCAAGAAAGAAAAAACTTATCTTGGGGTTCATTTCACCTAACATCAACTTATCTGACCTTTTCTGCTTGTCTGAGACATATACTAGTTATTGCAAATAAGGGAAACCGAACCATGCAAGCTGCGTACTGATGCCTCATGCGTATAATCCTAGCTACTCAGGAGGCTGAGAATGTGAGGATTATGGTTCAAAGCCAGCACAGGCAGAAAAGTCTATGAGACCAACCACCAGAAAACTGAAGTAGAGCTGTTGCACAAAGTGGTAGAGTACTAACCTTGAGCTGAAAAAGCCCGTGAGACTCCAATAAACCACTAGAAAATGAAGTGAACAGCAGGGATATCAGTGAGACAGCATCCAGGCCCTCATTTCAAACCCCATGACATGACTGACAAAAAAAATTATGCAGTACTTGTCCTTTTTAATTGGCTTGTTAGTATAGTGTTCTCAAGGTTCACCCATGTTGCAACATGAGTCAGAATTTCCTAGCTTGCGTTAGGCTCAAGTCATAGAAGCCTTGCCTACCAAATATGAAGCCATGAGTTCAAATCCCAGTGCCTGGGCTGGGAAGGTGGCTCAGTGGTAGAGTGCTTGTCTCACATGCATGAGGCCCTGGCTTTGATTCCTCAGCAACACATAAACAGAAAAAAATGGAAGTGGCGCTGTGGCTCAAGTGGTAGAATGAGAACTAGCCTTGAGCTGAAGAGCATAGGGATAGTGTCCAGGCCCAGAGTTCAAGACCCATGACTGACAAAATTCTAGTGCCTTATATTCCATGGTATTATACATATTTTTGTTGTTTACTTTTTTATTTTGCCAGTACTGGGGCTTGAACTCAGGAGCCTTATACTTGCTTGGCTTGCTTGCTCATGGCTGGTACTTTGCCATTTGAGCTACACCTCCAACCTGCTTTTGGCTAGTTAACTGGAAATGGAGTCCCAAGGATTTTCTCTCTGATCTGGCTTTGACCACTGTGCTCCAGGGCTCAGCCTCCTGAGTAGCTAGGATTATAGGCGTGAGCCACTAGCATCTGGGTCATATTTCTTCTATTTGTTGTTGAACACTTTGGTTGCCATAATGGTGCTTAATGTGGGTTTACAAAAGCCTGTTTAAGTCACTGCTTTCAATAGTGTATGTGTGTGTACGTGCTGTTACTGTGCCTTGGGCTCAGGGCCTTGCACTCTAACTTGGCTTTTTCACTCAAAGCTGGTTACTCTACCACTTGAGCCACAGAAGCATTTTCAGCTTTTTTCTGGTTAATTGGAAAAAAAAAATCTCAAGGACTTTTCTGCCCAGGCTGGCTTCGAACTGCCATCCTTGGTTCTCAGCCTTCCAAGTAACTAGGATTGCAGGCATGAACCACCAGTGCCTGACTGATTTTAATTCTGCTGTGTGCGCAAGAGGAAACTTGATGGATCATATAGTAATTATATTTAATTTTTTTTGAGGAGCCATCATAGCACCTGCACTATTTTACATCCCCACAACAGTGCATAGGGGCTCCAGCTTCTCCCCATTGTCCTTAGCAAGTTGTATTAATGGCTTTTCAGTATTCAGTCACTGAAAAGTAATAATATCCCTGCCAATTCCCTGTTGTTGGACTCTTAAGTTGTTTTATCTTCTTTTTTTTTTGTCGGTCATGGGGCTTGAACTCTGGGCCTGGGCTCTGTTCCTCAGCTCTTCAGCTCAAGGCGAGCGCTCTACCACTTGAGCCACAGCGCCACTTCCGGTTTTCTGGTGGTTTATTGGAGATAGGAGTCTCACGGTCTCTCCTGCCCGGGCTGGCTTTGAACCGCGATCCTCAGATCTCAGCCTCCTGAGTAGCTAGGATTACAGGCGTGAGCCACCAGCGCCCAGCAAGTTGTTTTATCTTCTTCACAGTACTAATACCACTTTAACATCCGTCTCCGTTTCTGACTGCTTGTCCCAGGTTTCCTTAGTGCAGTATCCTGCATGTGTTTGCTAAACGAAATGAAGCAGTTAAGCATTGCCAACTTACTGTTTAGAAAAATAATTTGACATCTAGCCAGCAGTTTCCACAAGTCCCCAGCAGTCCTTTTCCTGCAGGTCACACTGAACCACGAACCCAAAACTGTTCAAATAGATAGGTGCTGGTGGCTCATGCTGTAATCCTAATTACTAAGGAGGTAGAACTCTTGAGGATCATAGTTCAGAGTCAACCTGGACAGGAAAGTGTATGAAGATTCCATTTAACTAGCAAAAAAACCCCAGAAGTGGAACTATGGCTCAAGTGGTACAGTGCCAGCCTTGAAGGAAAAAAGCTAAGGGACAGTGCTGAGGCTCCAAGTTCAAGCCCTAGACTGGTGCATGTGTGCCCATGCACACGTACACACATGTATGCAATACATTGTCAAAGATGTCAAAGAGCAATGCCCCCAAAACAGACTCGGCTGAGCTGATGTGGAAATGCAAAAAATTAAAATGAGAGTCACATGTACCAGAACCCTTTTTATAAAGCCACTATAAACTGGTAACTCCAATTTTATACAAAACTCCCCATCATTCTCTTACGAATATTCATGCCAAAACTTAAATATTACCAAACAGCATCCGCAAACACATTAAAATATTACATCATAATGCAGTTGCTTTTTTCAGTAGTGTATATTGCTTCTAAAGGGCAGAGCTGTGAAGCCCAGGCCAAAATATCCACATTAGATGGATTCAAGGAGGAAACCTGCATAACTAGGCTTGTTAGGGAACTAGAACCTTTCAAAAGTGACAAAGTAGGGTCTGGGAAGGTGGCTCAGTGGTAGAGTGCTTGCTTTGCATGCATGAGGCCCTGGGTTTGATTCCTTAGCACCCCATAAGCAGATAAAGCTGGAAGCAGTGCTGTGACTCAAGTGGTAGAGTGCTAGCCTTCAGCTGAAGAGCCGAGGGACAGTGCCCAGGCCCCACGACTGACAAAAAAAAAAAAAAGTGACAAAGTACACATTAAAAAATAGAGGGGCTGGGAAGGTGGCTCAGTGGTAGAGAGCTTGCCTTGCATGCCTGAGGCCCTGGGTTCGATTCCTCAGCACCACATAAGCAAAAAGAAAAAAGAAGTGGCGCTGTGGCTCAAGTGGTAGAGCGCTAGCCTTGAGCTGAAGAGCTGGAGGGACAGTGCCCAGGCCGAGTTCAGGCCCCATGACCGGACCCCCCCCCAAAAAAAAATGGGTAGAAATTCTCACCCTGAAAACTACATACACAAAATTCCAGAAGTTAATGGTTAATGGAAATGCCAAAGAGAGAACTGGTATGTTTCCGGCTATCCAGAATAAAGAGAAAGAGAAAAGGTAGTATGGTGGGAGGACTTAACCGACAGAAAGACAGGGAAGATGGGATAAAGACTAGGTTGTTTCCAAATCGATGAAAGCAATCAGCAAATCCAAACACAGCTGGCTCCAATGGAAAGCGTTGCATAAAAGCTGTTTTTGCTGGGCCCATAGATTAGCTAAAAGCAGGAGAAGCTCACCACCGCCTCCATGTTGTATGTGTCTGCGTAAGCCATTATGTTAGCAGTCACTTTGTCATCACTTATGGGTTCCTGGAAAGGACAGAACTGATCAACAACGTCTTTATGAGGAAAGACTGAAACTACTCCTAAGGAATAATTGAGTCATCTTAGGACAGACCACCCACCAAACAGTGATGATCTGCTTATCCTGACCAGTGATGGCAGTGATAACGTCACCAGAATCCTCTCAAGGACTGAAATAATGATCCACCTAGCCATACCTGACCAGGACTGTGGAGGAGTAGTGCACCCTGCTTTCCCTACCTCTTGTTTATAAAACCTAAAGTACATGTTTGTAGCTGGAAGATGTGAAAGCAAGCTAAGGTGTTGTCTTACCACCCTCTTTATTTTGTGCATAGGAATGAGGCATGTCTCCTTGTGAATCTCCTGGAGTTTGGAGAAGGGTAGGTTATCTAAAAACTAGTTTCATAACCTGATGAAAAGCAATATAAGCTGAGCACTTGTAGCTTATGCCTATAGCCCTAGATACTCAGGAGACTTAGATCTAAGGATAGTGGTTCAAAACCAGCCTGGGCAGAAATAGCCTTGGATACTAATTTTTTTTTTTTTTGTCGGTCATGGGGCTTGAACTCGGCTTGGGCGCTGTCCCTGTGCTCTTCAGCTCAAGGCAAGTGCTCTACTGCTTGAGCTGTAGCGCCACTTCTGGTTTCCTAGTGGTTTACTGGAGATAACAGTCTCAGGGGCTTTTCTGCCCCGGCTGGTTTTGAACGTGATCCTCAGATCTCAGCCTCCTGAGGCAGAGTCACCAACGCTTGGCTTAAGCTTTTTTTTTTTTTTTTGCCAGTCCTGGGGCTTGAACTCAGGGCCTGAGCACTGTCCCTGAGCTTCTTTTGCTTAAGGCTACCACTCTACCACTTGCCCACAGCATCACTTCCTGCATTTTCTGTGTATGTGGTACTGAGGAATCAAACCCAGTGCTTCATGCATGCTGGGCAAACACTCTACCGCTGAGCCACCTTCCGGGCCCCTCAACAAGCTTTCGGAGTCCTTCCTGCTGAGCCAGTCTACTGCCAGAACCTGAAGACACCTCTCAACAGGTAAGCTTGTCTTCCTTATTCACTTAGAATGCTGTGAAACTACAGAAAATAAAGAAAAATCTTGTTTTAGCCAAGTGCTGGTGGCTCACACCGGTCATCCTAGCTACTCAGGAGGCTGAGCTCTGAGGATCATGGTTCAAAGCCAGCCCTGGCAGGAAAGTCTGTGAGACGCCTATCTCCAATTAACCATTAGAACACCAGAAGTGGCGGCGCTGTGGCTCAAGTGGTAGAGCGCTTGCCATGAGTGAAAAAGCAAATAAACTTTAAATTTTTTTTTGCCAGTCCTGGCATTCGAACTCGGGGCCTGGGCGCTGTCCTTCTTTTACCACAGCGCCACTTTTGGCTTTTTCTGTGCATGAGGTGCTGAGGAACCGGGCGCAGGGCCTGACGCGTGCCAGGCAGCGCGCTACCGCCGAGCCACGTTCCAGTCCTAGGCCCTGACCTCGGGACTGGGCGCTGTCCCTGAGCTGTTTTGCTCGAGGCTGGCGCTCTACCCCTTGAATCCCAGCTCCACTCCCAGCTTTTTGGAGCGTAACTGGGGGAGGCGTCTCAGCGGCTTCCTGCAGGGCGCTCAGTCTCCGGAGTGGCCGGGCCCCAGCGCGAGCCAGCAGCGCCCGCAGAGCCCGCAGCACCTCGTGCTTCTGCCCGCCCCTTCCCACGGGCCTCAGCGCTCAGCCCGGCAGAGGATCTCCTCAGGAACGGAGGCGCCAGTGCCCGAGCCAGAAGCCCCGAGGCGAGCCTCAGGCGCAGGCCCGACGAGGCCGGCCGCAG